CTTATTTATAAAATAATATAATTTAAATGATGTTAATGATAAGTGATATGTTGCAGTAAAATACATAGTAAATTTAGTCATGTGTTATTCAAAATTTTGATATTAAAAAGTGCGAGAAAAAAAATGGATCACAAAATGAAAAAAATAAAATAAACAATTGGAAATTCATCGTAATAAAATCGCTCACCATGAAATTTATTTAAGAAAATTTGAAACAATATTAGCATTTAATTGCATTGAAAATTTCAAAACATTCTAAAATTGCTACTTATCATTCTTATCATTTCCATATCATTTGCATGTGTGAAAATTCAATAGAGCACACGATAAATAACAGTTTAAACGTACACCATTGAGTGTAATTTTAGTGAAGGGCATGCACAAATGCAGTTGGAATTGGCTGAACATGAAATGGAACATTTATCAACGAAATTAGAACGTTTAGAAAAGAAAAATATTCATCTTTCAAAAAAGTAATCAAATTTTTTTCGTTGAAAAATTAAAAAAAAAAACTTATTGATTAGTGCATGAATTTTTAGTGAGTGATATATTTCACTCAACTATAAATGCTTATAATTAAGCACTTTTTTACAATTCACTTCATATTTAACACATTTTTAACTCTTAAATGATTTACTAACATTTTGCATATGAAAATGCAAGCACTTTTGTAAATAAATGTAAAAAAAATAATAATTCAATGCATAATTTTTCCCAATTGTCTTATTTCAAATTCTTATTTTGCATTAACTCAATTTTCGAGCATTTGCTTTTTTTTAAAAATTATTTAATTGCTCTTGTTTTTTTCTTTGGTATAAATATCTAATTTTTTTTAATCTACAGAATTATGGAAATGGAATTAGATTCAAAGAAAACTTCAGAGAATGGAGAAATTATTAAAGGGCGAGTATGTTTTAAACTTAATGATAGCTTAAGATTTTTGAAATTTAATCGAAATTTAAAGCAAAGAAAAGATCACAGTAATAAAGTAACAACTTCGAAAGATACAATTTAATCGCTGTATAAAATCAATATCAATTATGTCGAAGAAATTATTTCGATTGTCAAGTTTTCTCGAATATCTCCTGTATGCTTATTACTTATAAATTATAATGTCAAATGAAAGATCTTTTTTAAATTTATATCTTTATTTTTCCTGAAAATTGTAAATTTTTTCAAGGACACAAATATATGCGTCTTTTTTCTTTTTTTTTTTGAAGGCAAAACAATTTGAAGTACCAGCGGAAATGCAACGTGATATTGGCAAGTTAATGATAACAATTAGTGAATTAGAACGTAAAAATTTAGACTTATCATTGCAACTAAAACAGCAAAGCGAATTCAATTCATCAGTACCATCAGAAAAATGTTTGTTTCATTTTTTACTTCTTCATTACAGTACCACAGGTACAGTATAATTGTTATGTCATGATATTTAAAATTGTATAAATTTCGAAATGTCTTATCATCTAAAAAACTTTATGATGTACTGATAATTTCGTTTATAATTTACTGATAATTTCTTAATTTCTTGACAATATATTGTGTGCAACTTCTCTAACAATAATGTTATTTTAGCTCAAACTGAATTACGAATAGAAAAGGAGCATAAGAAAATTATTGAAAATGAATTGATGGAACTAAAACGGATGATGCTTCAATCAGATAATCAAAAATTGATTTCTATGGCTACAAAGGTTTCCGATCATTTTTTTTAATATCGTTCATGCTACAATCTAATTCTTATTTAAATTCTATTACGAATCCATTCTTCTTAGTATGTACAAAGAAATCCATATGGATAAATTGAAAACGAGACTTATATTGATTGTAATGATAACATATCATTTTGAACGATTAGTTAGTTAGTTTATTTATATCTGAATCTTTTTCATCGAAATTATTTCAAATTTTTCTTCAAAAAAGTTGTAACTTTATGAATTTATTAAGGTTGAATTACTGAACAATCAACTTCTATTAGTGAATGATCGTTGTGCAAACCTTCATCGAAGAATTGTAAAAGAAGGTGGGAGTGAAACCGCATATATAGTAAGCAAAATTTTTCGCTTTCTTTTTGATGGCAATAAATTCTTATTAACAAAAGAAAAAATCTCAAGGTTTCATTTTCTTTTATCACAATTCATTTTTTTTTTTTTTTGATAATTTGTGGTTTTAAAGATGTTTTAAAGAATTACTCATTCTCTTTCATCATTAAAAAAAAAGATTTTTTCAGAGATTAGCATTTTAGCATTTATTTACTTTGTACTTGAAAGAATATTCAGCACATTTAGTGAATTTCATTCTAAATTCATATTTTAAAATAAATATTTAGCATATGCCTTCTTTTGAAGTATTACAAATCTATTACTTCTCATTGTCGTTTAATAATTTGCATTCCATTAAGTAATAATTTAATTTCTTAACAAATAAATCATTTTAGAAAAGAATTTTTAACTTATTCATCATATTTTTTCATGCAAATAATTTGTGAAAGCATCAATTTTCCTTTTTAAGGATTCATTGAAGAATAAATGTGAGGAATTGGAAAGGCAATTAAGTGAACAGAAAGCGAAAAATGCAATCAATTGCTCCCAGATTGATAGCGTTACCACGGATGAGGTTAAAAATAAAACATAAATGAAAATACAATTAACCTTCTCGATGAAATCAAAAAAGGAATTTTTTTCAATTTATTAATCGGATAGTGATTATTTTACATGATTAATTTTGCAGATTGAACAATGCTGTGAAGTGCTTGCATCTGTGGAAGCACAAACAAATCGAATTTGCAAGCAAATTGAAAAAATTGATAGTGCTCAAAAGGTTTCCTTTTTATATAACAATTTTTTTTTCGACTAAGTTCAGGTGATTTATAACAAATCAACAGCTGAATTGTTAATTGTTATCACTTGAACAATGATAACATTGAGAATTCTCTGACTGCTCGCAATTCTTTATTTTGATTTCCTATTTCTTTCATTTACTGTTCATTTATTATCATAAAAAATTGTTAATAATATTTATTGAATTGCTAATTGAGAATAGAATATTCTATTAAGATGAAATATTTACATTCGTCTATCTTTGAGGATGAACGGCGGCGTTCGTTATCGAAGGACAACAGCGCAACAATCATTGCTGAATTAGCAAGTGTGATGTCCGAATTAAATAACGTCCATCAATTACTTGAAGCACACAAAGTTTTCGCTTTTTTTTTTGTTAATTTAGTTTTTAAATATGGTAAAAAGAATTTAATTAACTATAACAAAAAATTTTTACTCTTGTAACATTGGCAATTGATAACAGCAACGTTTTAAATGAATTTTTAACTTAATTTTTCATTATAGTCCGGTAAATTATTAATGTAATGTGCTAGGATGTAATTCTTGTAGGATGCTTTTAAATCTGTTTGAAGCGAAACAAAAAAGAGCTGATGTAATATTATAGTTAGTTATTAATTACAAGAATTACTTTTCTCTAATTACAATCAAGTTATTGATTAATCAATTGTCGTCGATTAATCACTAACTTCAATTACTAATATTACAAAATCCATGATGATAAGGAAACAATATTTACATCATGGATTTTGTAATATCAGTAATTCTTGTTATAAAAATTAATTACAGACGATAATTTCCAGGTTAATATAGTAAGTGTCGCTCGAGGTTCGCCAGCAAAAAGTACATCGAATGTAAATTCAGAATTAAAATTATGCAATAAATGCAAAGAAAATGAAACATTTATTGCATCACAAAAAGATGAAATCATATTCTACAAGAAGAAAAATAAGGTGAAATACCACAATTTCTATTCCTTCATTAAAATTTCACACTCTTTTCTTTTCCCATTTAATTGTTTGAACTTTTTTATTGTTATTATTACTTTAGGAGCTCACTAATCAGGTATTACAAACAGAAGATCGTTGGACTGCTGAAATTGAAAAGCAACGACAAAGCTACGAAAATGAGGTAAAATTCGGGAAAGAGATGATTTAAAAAAAAAAAAAAACCATTGCAAATTTTAAGTTAGCAATTTAAAATTGAAAAAATTTAATAACATTTCATTATTATCATTCATCTCCTTTGAAGGTTCGTATTTTACATACAAAATTGAATGATGCACAAAAGAATGTGATAGAGCAGGAGCATTTATTGGAATCACGAGCTGTTGCACTGGCAGAAAAGGTTCGGATGATACAGGAACGAGATGAGAAATGTGATAAATTAAAAAAAGAATTAACTGTTGTAAAAAAAGAAATCCAGGTAAAATTTTTAATTACAAATTATTTTACCCTTAATTTATCTCTCATGTACTATTCTATTTTCCTTCTCTTTTCTAAAAAAGCTTTTATCAGTGCCTCTTCTATTATATTTTACAGGATATTGAAGCGAATCGTAAATCTGCTAAAGAGTTTGAAATTAAATATAAAAAATTAGAATCGATGTTCACTTTGGAAAAGGAGAAATTGGCTGAGGAAAAGACAAAGTCCAAATTAGAAGTATCATTGTTAAAGAAGAAATCTGAGGAAGCACTAATTGATCTTGGTTTGTATATTATTTCGCATGAAAGGAAAAAAATGATAATATATTTGGTATTGTAACAATTTGATAATTTTTAAAATTTCAAAACCATCATTGGAACAAAATTTTTTGAGTGTTAAAACTAAAAAAAAATTTATTTTCAGAGAAATTACGCAACAGTTACGTGAAAAAGGAAAAAGCATGGGAGGAAAAACGTGATATGCTCGAAAATGAATTATCATATTTGAGGAAACAGCTTAATAAGGAAACTATAAATAATAGCACAGATGGTATCTAACTTTTTTAAACAGTGTTTTTTACTAATCAACTTAATTTTTTATTAATAAACGCTATCACATATTAAAACACCTGTGATTCCTTGGAGGAAATAATTTGGTATTTGATGATTATTACAATGAGATCACCTATTATTTGTCTTGTGGGCTATTTGTTAGAAAAAAATTTCATCAGATATTTAAAAATATCTAATAAATTGATTGATTAACTTTAATACTTTAATCTATTAAAAGCATTAAAGTTAACCTATTAATTTATCAGATATTTTTGAACGTATTAAAGTTAATTTATCAATATTAGTTCATAGAAAATGGCGACATCATTTTCTTTAAAATTATCATAATAGGAACAACGACTGTTTCGGATCTCAGTTCACCTATTCCCGTCATACATCAATCAACAACATCAACGGTATCACCAGTGATAACAAACTATAAAAATGATGATATTGTAGATCTGAAAGATCAAATTGCAACTCTGCAAAACAAGGTTATTTATTATCTTTTGGTTTATCATTCAACTCTTGATGTATGACGTTTATTGAATGTATAAAAAAATTGTTGAAATTTATTGAATGAAAAAAGCTATTTTTAATTCATTAAACTTCAACATCTTTTTCTCATACTTTAACTCGTATTTTTCTAATCTAATCGTATTAAAAAATTGATACATTTTTGATTCTGAAGTGTTACTGTAATGGTATTTTGTTGTGTATGATTAGCAAATTTTCATGATTGGAATTATTTTAAATGAACTGTTTAGAATAAAGAATTGACGAATCAAGTCTCAGATGCAAAACGTGATAATGAAGATTTACGTATGGAGATTGCCACTTTGCAACAAAAATGGACAAAGGATAAGAATGATTTATTACACAAAGCGAGACAGGAAGAAAAAGTACCATTAAGTACCATTATTGGGTTTCGTGCTGAAATGTGTAGATTTTAACAAGAAATAGGAAATATGCGCAAATATTTGTAGTAAAAACAATTGCTGATAATTTCTTAAATATAATTTTTATAGTTAATTTAGTAAAATTTTTTTTATTTCATTAAATTATTGAATTTTATTTCACGAAAAATAATCACAACTACGTTTGATTTTACGATATAAGAAAATATATAATCTTAAAAGCTACATGTGAAATGTTTGCATAATTTAATATTTCGATATTTATTCGTCGACAATAAAAACATTACTTCTTCTTTAAAGCATTTAATTTTAAGACACGTATAAAATATTACAGATTCGCAATGTTGAGTTCGATGCATTACAGCAAAAATTTGCAAGCCGAATGCGAATAATGGAAGATACGAATAAATCGTTGCATTCACAGGTAATAATTACTGTATAATTCACAAGTGTCTCTATTTAATATATTTGCATAAGTAAGAATGATAATTAAGAAGTATATTTTTAGTTAGTACAAGCTCGACGTGAACGTGATTATCATCGTGAAGCATTGCATACATTTGAAAGTAAAGTATCGGAGGAACAACGCCGCGGAGAAAAAGACATAAGGCAGAATAAGGAATTAGAGCGGAGAAGCTCCGATATGGTATATCCTTGTTTTATGGAATATTTTTTAAATTCGAAAAATTTTAATTTTGCTGTATCATAGAATAATTTTTAGATTGGATAATTCAAAAATTTTTGTTTTTAGATCAAAGAGATAGAAGATTTGAAGGAGGAAGTGATTAAATTGAATACTGATTTGAAATTGTCAAAAGAGATTCATGAAGCTGATCGTGCCTTATGGAATATTGAAAAATCTCACATCAAGCCAAAGAAGGCTACAATTTCGGCTGATAATGGTACAGACAGTAAAACTGTAAGTGATACATAAATTTCATCAGCTTTAGTTCTTCCATTTAAATTACACTCACAAAACCATAAATTACAGATCACTTACACATAAAGATTCATAAAACTCCACGCTATACAGGACTAGGATTAGGAGTCTTTGAACTTTTAAGTGAAATTTTAGGAGTCTTCATGTAATAATAACTTTTACAGCAGTAATTTCAAGGATAAAATTTTACTTGCGATCATTTTTTCCTCATCAATTATGCTTGCAAGTTTCCATTTCTCCTGTTTGAATAGCACTTCGCCTAAGGCACTATTTTTGTTTGTTTTTGGAACTGACTTAATATTTTTCCATTATTATCGAAAAAATAAATGTTATAGGAAAGTGCTTTAAAAACTGCCGAAATAGCTCAAAAGAAATATGCAGAATATCAAGATTTTTATGCGAAAGAAGTGGAAAAGTTAAATTCAAAACTGAAAGGACTGCTAAATGAAAATCTCGTCAAACAGCAAGAATCCGAAAGAACTCTAAAAAATGTAAGTTAAATAAATCATTGTATTTTCAAATTATGAAAATTCAGCACATTCTATACTAAAATTGTTAAAATTATATTATCAATATGATAATTATTGAAAATTTCAGCTACGTGAACAGATCAAAGTACTGGAAATTAGTCAACGAAATTTGATGGAAGCTCGCGATATGCAATTGGGTGCAAAAGAATTTTTAGAAAATGAGCTTGAAAGATTACAAGAAATAATGAATGTAAACGAAGTTCATCGATTAACAAGAAAGTACAAATTATCATTAATCATTGAACAGGTAATGATAATTTGATTATTTTGTATTATCCATGCTATTTCAATTATTTGAAATCTTTCATTTAACTATTACGTATCCTCAGTATATTTCCTACATTTAGATAAGAGAATTTTAAAATAATTATTTTACTTGTACATTCACATCTAATTTTATTTACCTATGTAAAATTACTTGAAAGCATCTCACAAATCATCTTTTCTTCCAAATGATTACGGATGCTTTGATAATTCATAATTAACAATTTTTCAAGCATATTAAAAATAACGATAGCGTTGTATTAAATTATAATATTAATATTTAGCTACAAATACTAATCGAGTCATTAACCAAATCATCAATTATTGGAAAAGATTCATTGGATAGTTTAAAAGCTTTTGTTTCTCAATTGAAACAAATGAAAGAGGACGAAAATCATCAATCAATTACGATTAGGTTCCTTTTTTGTATTTCATAATGTGTCATAACATGTCACTACCGTGCATTATATGTAAGGTATAATCACCCGATACATTATTATTTCATGGAAAGCAAAAAAATAAACAATTGTTTTTTTTTTATTAATGAACTAAAATATTGTGAAAGCATCAACATTGTCGTGTATAAAGTATCCAGCTTACTTTTAGTACCAGCTTACTATCTTTTATATTTCACTTTTGATTAGTTTGAAATACACAATTTCTCTTATGTGGAAAATCTTTATAGTCTCCATTTGAAATATGCGCATTATTTTTAGCAATGAAAAAAAACAAAACAAACCTAACGAACGTGTTAAAACGATTGGAAGTGAATCTGATACGACATCACACGTACGATCTAATGCAACTTTACAATCATCAACTCCAACTCGTTTCTACTCCTATAGTACCCTCCCAACATCATCATATAAGTATCACATTTTATGCACAATTTTTGTAGTATGTTTACTGTTATCGCTAGATCCGTAAAAAAAAAACGGTACCTGTTGCAGAACAAGATTTTATTTTTTATTTTTTACTTAAATTTTTAAAAAATTGCATTTTGTTACCCAAATTATTATGCAATATTTTTAATTATATAAAATATGTTGTTAGGAAACAAATAAAAGAGAAAAAATATGATACAGCTAACTTGAATATTTCAATCTTTTTACTCTAAAAATTACTAAATGTTATTTTTTAGTAATTTTTGAAGTAAAAAAGTTTTTTTTTAATTTATCAATTTGCTCAATTTTCAAGAGCTTTAGGTTATCAGCAACAGTGAAAAATCTGAGTGAAAGTAACTCGGCCATTGAAATTCGAGAAATGGGAGCAATTACTAATGGAACACAATCATCAACTAAGAAAATTTCACCATTTCCAGATCCACCACCTACTCTTATCCTTAGTAATTTCATTTCAAAGTTTCCTTCAAACAAAAATATTAAACATTTGCAATCGTTCAAAAATTTGATTCCGAAATATTTTAAAAATGAATAATTTTTAAATTTCATAATTTGCAATTTCCTTACAGAATCATAGCAAAGCTTAAAAAATGAAAATGACCATTTCAGACAAGGAAATGGCGGTAGAATATGATAAAGACGGCCGACTTCATTACATTCCTAAAAGTATTTCACGTTCCACGTCACGTGATCGGCGTGATGATAACTCTGATCCGAATGATGGCGAAGATTCATCAACCGGACAACTGCATTTCAGAACAAATAGTACCGGTAATATGAAAGCTTATATACCAATTGATTTAAAAAATGAGCAACCCGATTTTTACAAAGTTCATAATTCTTATTCTGAAATTTTTTTATAATTTTATAATTTCCAAGATAATTTTCTTTTCACGTTTAGATATTTGATGAAAATATGCACAAAAAAAATCTAATTTCTGAGCTTTTCCGACTAAAAAAAAACTTACGTTGAGAATTGAGAATGAGATGAACGCATATCAGAAACTTTTATTCAAATATTTCAATATAATTTATTGATTATAGGAACGAATATTTTATATGACATTCGTCGACTTGAGTTAGCTTGCGGTACCCAACCATCAGTACGTTTAATGGCAAAAGCATTTGAAACAATGGAAGAAGCAAAGGCATCAAAAACACTTTCAAATTCAAAACGATCATTGTTTGGTATACGCAAATCACGTTCCGTTGAAACAACTGAAGTAGGAAAAGGCATTGGAAGTGCTACCAAAAGTGTATGTAATTTTTTTTTAAATTAAAATTAAATTTGAAAAAGAAGTGAATTTGTTCATAATCATTCTAATTTTAGGTATTAACACCTTTAACATCATCACCAGTAGCAATAACTGTACTTGGCCGAAATACATCACTCAGTCATATTGAAGAATTAATGGGTAGTCAATCACCGTTCGGAAATGTATCTCGCGGAAGCCGAAATCCATTTAGAATTATGAGTAAGATTATTTCTCAAAAAATATTTAAATTTTCTAGAAATTCCAAGTAAACTCGGGAAACACTAATGTATATTGGTTTAATTTACATGATTCAAATTATGGATAAGCTTATTATTAGCCACTGATCAATACCAACCAGAAAGTTTATTTATAGCATCAAATAGTAAATGATAATTAATGTATTAAATTCAAGAATTCCTACATGTAAAGAATTATTACATATTACTGTACCCAAAAGATTCATTGTTATTTAAATTCATTTTTATTTAAAACAAGATAAATATTTTTTCTTGCAAGCATATTAGCATAGTTGAATTCACTATTAGAATCAATCAGAAATTTCTTACTTTCAACTTATTTTTAGAAACGAAGTTAGTTGAACGTGTACGACGAAGTTTGAGTAGATCGAGCTCAAAGAGACACAGGGATGGTTCGACAGAAAGTAGTCAAAGTATTAAGCATAGGAATGAAAGCATTACGCTAGTTGATCAGAAAGATGAAATGGTTGAAAAATTTGGCGAAACAAAGGTACAAAAAATGTTTTTTTTTTTCATATCAACAATCAAAACATATATCTGTAAGAAAACAATTCCATATTGTTGATGCTATATGATTATTATAAAGCTCTCTATCCTTTTTTTCTCATTTATTAAACATAGGATGCGGAAAGTAGCAATACACAAATTTATCAAATTGACATTTATAATTCTAAAATAGATTTATTAAATTGTTAGGTTATCATTGTTTTTGATTACGTTTTTGATTAAGAATTTACACAGTCAAATAAAATAATTCTCGAATTGCCTATGATATCCAAAAAATACATATCAAAGTGTTCCAGTCGCTTTCTACGGAAATTTCATTTAAAAAGTGAACATCACTTGTAATGCTGGATATATTCGGATTTAAATTTGATTAAATTTGACAATCTATATGGTGATAAATTTAAAATATTGACAAATAATTATTCGGAATTTCTAACTTCACCTTAAAGTTCAAAATTTTTTAACTACGAAACGAATTTGCCATTTAAAGTGTGAATACTGCAGAAATCTCATACATCACCGTCGTCTACTAAGAAAACGATAAGTAAAACTCGAGTGAAGAAAAAAGTAAAGAAAACAGCAACAATCAGTCAGCAGCCAAAATAGCACTGTGACCAACAACAACACACTTCTTTTTTATACTTTTAAAAATGAAAAATCAATTTCGAATATTTCTTCTCTCAATTCCTGAAATCTTTATGCTTTCTGCTAGCTATACCGAATATAAGCCATTCTTTTATCATTAGATGCTGAAAGATCAAACCTAATGATCAGAACTTGTCGTTCTTCCCAACGGAAAGTCTTCTTTAATCTTGTTTTCCTAAATTTCTATCTACTGCTCTTACTATAATATGATACATACATATGTATAGATAGAACTTATCAGCTTAAATTCTCTTGATAATTGCACTACAGTATTCCTGAATTATAATATCTTGTCACCACCTCATTAAATTTAACACTGTGTTCAGGTTTTTTTTTTCTATTTCACCCAGAAGTTTCGACTGTTATTACTCATTTCTAATATCGCTGGTTTATAAAATACTTAGCTTAACACATTTTTAGCTATAAATGTGGTGATAATAATAATGATAAGAAATCATCTTCTACTGACAATAATTTATTGAATGAAAAGAAGGAAAAAAAAACAGAATATTGAAGATGATTGCTTGTTGCTCTTTTTACATTTGTAAAAATTAAAAAAAAAATCTCCAAAGTGAAACCACTAAGATTTTTAAATTCTTGTAATTAAATCCCAGGTGATGATTTTTACTGAATCTTTGTCTAACAAAATTTCCTCAAATTGAAATCATTGTTACTAGTTATGATCTGCTACACAATTTATTTCACCTAATTGCTTTTTCTTCCATTGTTGATTTTTATTCACTGATCAATATTTCCTTTTTCAATAGTGTTCACAAAGTGATATCAGCAATCGTCGAGTTTCCTATTCATTTTCAATCTCATATTATTAGCATGAATTATCTTTGAATTTCAATCGAAATTTCTCATTCTAAACAGAAATTTTTAGCTATCTCAGCCAACTAAAAACTTTTTTTCTTTTGGGAACTACACGATTTCTGCTGTGATACATCTATTTATTTCTTGTTCTTCAATCAATAGGTTGCCTAATGGTGTTCTAAAACTGCCTTATCATTTTTTTATTATTTTCATATATCGTACTTTTTCTTTATCTTTTCTAATTTTTAAAATGTGCTTATTTATAAAGTGTCATTTTTCTGGCATGTGCAGTAAAGAATAAAGTTATATTAAGAATGAATTTATTACACTCAAGAAAAAAAAAATTGATAATCAAAACTCTCCTATGCAACTGCAATATTCTTCAACGAAAAAAGATCCGTGAATACAATAAAAAAAAAGGTCGTAGTGATAAGGTATTTAGTAAAAAGAAATACTAGTTAGAATTCCTGAAACTTTTGCTAATGAAAGTGTTCTAATAATTCTTTTCTCATTGTTAAGATGTTTGACATAAAAATAATGAGTATTTTAAGTAGAATGATTATATCAATGAATATAAAGGAAATTATTTCATTTCTTTTACATATAAGTAATGCCTCAAATACGAAACTGGTGTGTACCGACAGTAAATATACAGAATAAGCAGGAACTGAGTAGTTCATCCTTTCATTTACTGTAAACCTTTGATGCTCATTCTCTCATCTATACTTGCATCCAATAACCTAATACGAAAATTAAACCGCAAGCTATCTGAAAATCGGTCCTTCTGATTTACTCGCGCGATGAGAAGTACGAACTGATAATATAAGCAGAAAAATATGTTATAGCTAGTGATTTTGAGAGGCTTTCAGTTATTTAATTAGATGTGACCTACTTAACTTAACATCAGTAATGTTAAATATTCTACATGAAATCCAAATTGCATGTATTGAATCATCATAAGCAGCAATGAAATGAATTTTGGGATAATTTTATAAAAGACTTAATGTCTTCAATATAGAACCATTCTAGAATCTTCCTATCATGAAATGAAGTCAATTTAAGCATACAAAAAATTTTCACCTGGCAAATTTTCAGATTTTGACAAGCAACAAGCTAAAATAAGAAATTTGAAAATTTAAAAAATCCGAATTTGAAATTTAAAAAAAATTGAAAAATAAAAAAATCATTACCCGTTCATTTATTGCCATTCGTTTTAGAAATGATTACATGGTTCTACAATTTTTCCCAAATAGATTTTATTCTGAAAAGCTAGCAGCGAGAATTTTAGGCTTAAATAATATAAATTGAATTTTAAGAGAATTAGAATTGAAGTGGTAATCGTTCATCCTATAATATCTAGTTTTAACTGAAGATTATTCTAAATGTTACAGCAAATTAAAAAATAAGTTTAAAATGCTTTTTATAAGGTAACCTCACAAAGTTAGAAATTCTGAGTAAATTCATTCCATTTGGCGAAATTTATTCCTTGTTCTATGAAGTATTTTGTTCCTGATATTGTAATACCAATATGGAACTAATATAGAACTAATCATCTGTAAAAACATTTTGAAACACAAGAATATTTTTTCTCAAACTCTTTGAAAATCTTAAAAAAAAGGTAGTAAGTGATATAAAACAAGGAATGATTAACATTTAAAAAAAAAACATGATGAAAATGTCACATATTTCCATGAAACAAAAATACAAGGATAAATACTTGTTAAAAGGTTGCTGAAAGAAATTTCATCATTCAAAAATTATGCTTAGCTAATCTCTGCAATGTTGGCTGTAATGAGTAACAATCATGCAATAATTATTTGAAACTCAACAGATGTCTTACCCTTCATTTCTACTTCGAATGTTTAGGAATATTGCAATAAATGATCAAGCTGGAGATATAATGATAAGAGAACAAACTAGCACATTGTGCTTGGCTAACAATGATCAATATGGTCAAGTGTTATTTGTTTTTAAGTCATCACACATTACAGCGTGTTTCTTTTGTAGCATATTACTACACATAGTTACTGTGTTGAATCTAATAATATCTAAATTTAAATTAAATTTTAAATGTAAGTAGCACTTAAAATCTGCTAGAAAAAAGCCTATTGTTCACTGCTACAATAATATAAAGTTAAAAACCAGGAAAATATTTCTTTCCACTCCGAAAGTGCCTCATCAAAAGTAGTAATTAAATATTAGGTCTTATTCTACGGAACAGATTTTTTCGCAGTGACCCGATTGATTAGTATCATTGTTGTACAACGAGATTTATTCCGTCAAGTTTTTTTTGTGTTGGAGGTTGTAGGTTTGTTGGGAGTGTGATTCCCGCGGTGAGTTCCATTGGGAGTTGGTAGGACGGTTAATGTCGTATTTTTAAATCTTTCAATCATAGCATTGTTCGGATTATGAGATGAGGCTTATACGAAGTATAAATTTTCAGGTTATGGATATTTAATGAAATATAGGATTCGAATGATTTGTAGACGTTTTCATGTTTTGTTGTTAGAGGAATTATTTTCAGGATACAACTGCTCAACAAATAGCAGTATGGCAAAGTCTAAGAATCACACAAATCATAATCAGAGTATGTTTTTATTGTTTCCATTGAAGTCAACAGCTTTCTGTTGTATCGTGTTTACATACACGAGAAACATCGATTGATTGTATGATTTCATTATTCTTCATGATGGAGGATTTTGATTGAGACTTAGCGCTGCTTGAAGGAATAATGCTGCTGCAGCTTTTTGGAATTTGAATAGAAACTCATTGGTTCAAAATGTACCATTTTTTTAAAGGATAATAGAGTAATAGATATCAATATTTTCACTTAATTATGTTCACGAATCTCTTCAGTTAATTACATCTGTCGAAAGCCTTGGATATCAACTGAGTTACTATGAGCGGCGTTAATAATACACCTTAAAATTTTTTATTTTGAATGGAACATAATTACTTCTTTATTCTAATTTGCAATACGCTGATGAGGTTGTTAGCAGTTTGTTACTTTGACTGAAAAGAATTCTTTCCTTGATATTTCAAACACTTCTGAAATATTGTCACTTGGATAGACGTGTCACTTAGTCTTTGTTGCTTTTGCACGTGAATAAAATTGGTTTCAGATAGAAAAGATCACAGAAATGGTATCAAGAAGCCGAAAAAACATCGTTTCATGTCCATGAAGGGAGTTGATCAAAAATTTCTGCGGAATCTTCGATTCGCCAAGAAGCATAACAAGCGACGTCAGCAGCAGAAGAAGGAATCTGAAGCTTAAGATATTAATTTTATGATTGCTTGATTGTTTTTTTGTTATGCTGTCAGTAAATTATTAATATCGTTGATTGTCTTTTGCATTTTATACTAGCTGTACATGATTTTCTGCAGATTTTATTTGTGGAATTGTTTTATTTAATAGAAAACAGCCTTTTTTTACCGATTGTGGGGATTTCGTTGATTGAGTGTACTTGCTGCTCTATGGTTGCTGCAACATTTACTACAGTTCCTTTTTGTGCCTTTAAAAAAAATTTGACTCTTGGCTTAAAACCCGTCCTGTTGTTATCGTAACATAGTTGAGGTTCGGAACTTTATTTTACAGGCTTTCATAAGCCATTGATAACTTCAGTAAAGATGAATGAGGAGTGTATTATCCGAAAGTTGGTTGCCGATGGAGATGGTGGTGGTGATGATCGCCGGTTCGTAACCATTCTTACATTACTGCTGAAACTCATTAAAGAGCCGGAGCCATCACAAAGGTTACATAATTTGCGCAGTGTTTCTGGTACTATATCACTTCTAAGCAGTTCCGGGGAATTTTGGGGGTTTTTATCAAAGTTGCAGAATGTTTACAAAAGGAATTAGAATATTTGGTGGGTGGGACTTAAAATCTTGATAGTTGTGTTTAGCTTATTGCCACGTATTATGAAGACTTTGGATGCGGCAGAAACTGCTATGAAGAAACAGGTATTGATTTCCGCAATGAATGAACGACAGATACAGGAGTACGCTATGCTAACCAATCGTATAGGTAGTCCTGTTTTATTTTTTAAGTTCACTGATTTAGTAACACTTATCAGAAATAAAATTTTGATATACCCTTAAGCCGAATGTCACCGGAGATATTCAATTTTTTTTCGCAAACATTTCTTAAAAATCAGGAGATATACACTTCATCTTATTTTCCATAAAAGTTTCTCGGAATTCTCGGAACAATCTATTATCAAAATGAATATATGAATACTGGCTTCTACAATCTGTTATTATACATATTTAAATATGATCATTTACTTGATTATACGACAACATCCTTTGTCTTTCTTGAAACTAAGAGATAAGCCAAGTATTCTCATATACTTCCCAACTCGTGCTTTTGAAGATTATTAGTTTAACTTTAGGTTCCTCTGTTCTTAGAGACTAGAGGTAGTACAATTGGCTTTTACACTGTGCCTCGAAATTTAAACAGAACAAATACTCTAGCATCATTTTCAACACTCTGTTAATGTCAAGAGAAAATCAGCTATTCAATTTACTATATATTATATTAAAGTTTGTTAAATTATTATAGAACAAGAAATTGTAAAGGCGAATGAAAAGATGACTGCTGCAAAAAAAGAATTGTGTGTTGCGAAAGGAATGCGGAAAAATAAAGAAGAATATGAATTACTGGCCAAAATGATTGAGAAAGTGCCATCCAGGCCAGAAACCACTAGGTTTTCTTCCTCTCTTTTCAGCGAAAAGCAGTTTTTCATTGGATTCACTTATCAGAAGAAATTGAGACCTTGGATCACAAGTGTCAATCTTTTACTAATACCACAGTGTTAACTTTGGAAATTCAGAAAAATTTTCTTTGAGAAATCAAAATTTCATTCTCGATGTGAAAGTCTGCCTTGCACTTGAGTGCAAACTGCTAATTGTATTCACCACTCTGTTTTCGGAGTATTTTGTCGAAACCATTTGGTCTTTTTGCATTTCACTGCTGCTAAATACTCAGCGAAATTCATTTATTTGGTTTGCTGAACAAGATCAGATTTCATTTCCATATGAAATGCCAGCTTCAGTAAGCTTAACACAAGGATGACTTAATTTCAATAACTGAACGTCTTTTTAATTCAAAAATTTCTTGACATCGCTCCCACAAAGAAGCATTGAAAAGTGAACCGCAAATTTAATAGCTGCTTACGATTGCATCTATTCAGTCCTTATCCCTATTTTAACACTTGAATATATTGAGAGATAGCTTTGATCCGGAGTGGTTCTTTAATTCGACTAATAAATGTTTTAAACAGTCTTGCTCTTACTTCTTCAATACTAATTGGAATTGCAGGAAATTGGAGATAATCAAGAAGGAACTTGAAGAACTTCATGAGAAACAACGGAATTTGGAAGCAAAGGTTTGTTTACCATTAACTTTCTTAAGTCAAATGTGGTCCAATGTCAATTGGCAACATGATCTTTAAAAATACATTGGCAATATTTTTGAGCTGTAAAATTGCTATTTAAGTAAACTTCCATGCTTATTTGTTCATGTGGGTTTATCCTCTATCATTAAGACTAACGACTTGTGATCATTTAATTAGTGTACTCTTCAATCATTTGAGAAATCCAATATTTGTATATTATTTTCAATCCATTAGGCAAAAATATATAGTGTAAATCGGCTTCCATGTCCTGTGTATTTAAATATGTAATTATTCACATTCTTTGCTAGTTTGTCACATCAAGAAATTTTCAGCTAGCAGACCGACGCAATCATCTGCACGCTTTCAACATTATATTGGCAAATTTCTGCAGATTTTTGAAAGGTATGAGTTCGTGCAGAAAATACCACATTACTTTCGACCTATTTTCTTATATTCTTCGAACCTTATTTGACTTTTCATTCATTTTCTATTGGGGTTTTCAACTAGAAATATACAGTTCTAATTATAGATGAAGAGAACGATGAAATAATAAGTAACGACGAGACCTTAGACGGTACGACGACGGACACCAAGAAAGAGAAAGCTTAAGTTGATCTCAATTTTATGTTGTTTTCATACGGGTATTTTGTTGACATCTTTAATCTTACAGTAGTGTTCAATAAAAAAATAAACTTATCGCGTTCATGTGTAATTGGACCAATATGGCAATGATAAACGTAAACATGCCCACATGAACGAACGGGAATCAGTAATGAGGAACGAATTCCTTAATTCTTAAAAGACGCAGGCACTTAAAAATTTTACAAAGGTAATGTCCTGACAGATTAAAAGGTAAAGTAAGAGAAAGCTTATACTCAGTTTCCTCTGCAGTGAATACATCGAGGGGAAAAAGCCAAAGAATGACCGTAATAGAAATAATAGCACCAAAATATCCATAGAGAAGCTTTGTTTTCTAAAGCGTTCGCTAGAGATAAACAGAAAGCATTACCGATTAGTGCTATTTTTTCATACACAGAGTGAAGATGCTCATTTTCTGGAGAATTCTTCCTCATCTTTGGTTTGTCCATAAACAACTCAAGCATCACGATTTTCGATAAAAAGGCTTTAAATAACTTTTTTCATACTGTTTGCTGCAATCATTCTTCCATCACAGTATAGATGTACTGAATGGCTGGCAACTTAGAGATATTTCTTTCGAGGACTAGAATTCGAAACGTAGAAATGAGGTGAAATGATGTGTTAGAATAAGATACAAGCATAGATGGTAATTTACATTACAGAACATCTCGCTGGTTTTCCTTCCACGCTGTATCGCAATTTCCGTAGTTGCCCCGTTGGTTTGTATTTTTGAAGAAAATTCAATTGTTTCTGATTAAGAGCGCCTCGTCGATGTCTAAAATAGTATTTTCATCGTTATAATTATAGCATATTCATAATCTAAGATTTCATTTCTTTTCCTTATTTCGCCGATTCCTTAGAAAATTTAACACGATCAAAATTTTACTGTGAATAAAATTCATAATGTCAGAAGCAACGTTCATCACATTACCAGTGCATTATTTGTGAAGTATGATTTAGAAAGTTACATGAAGAACCAAAACTTCTTGTCAAATTTTTTATGAATTGATTTTTCCCACTAAATAACAACTTCTAAGTGTTTCATCTAAAGTTCTTATGATTCATTTCACATTTACTAAAAGTAGAAGTAGCTACATACTAGAAATTAGAAATGGTTAGAAGTAGTTACATACCGCCTAATGAGATCAACAGCATCTTCGTATTTCATACCAGCCTCCATAAGCGCGATAGCTACTAGCACTGGAGCTCGACCTAATCCTGCTACACAGTGCACAGCAATACACTGATTTGGATGTAGTTTGAAACTTTCCTTTGCTAAAGATAACCACTTGGTGATCAACTGAAAATGAACACTATTATTAAACTACAAAAAAAATTGTCTTCGACCCGTCGCTAAGTTCATATTTGCAATGCAATAAGTTCACATTCACCTTGACTTTATGAATTTGATGGCACTATTCACTTCTCTTATGAAATTAATACTTATTTGATACAAAAGCTATTAAGAACCAGTTTACCATAAGTTAAGAAATATTCCACTCAAAAAAGTGCATAAAAGTAAAATGAAACAATTTCAATACACTGTTATATCTACAATTGACCAGAAAGAATGAGTTACAGAGGATCACATCAATTCCAGGATGAATAGATTATATTCTCGAACGAAAATAGGTGAATCAAATTAGTCCTTTTCAGTAAATAAAAAATTACCTCAGGAGGTGGCGCGCTACCATCATCGAATTCCCAATCGAGTACATCAATACCATTCACAATCAATGGCGCCGTTGCATACGTTGGTTCACATACCCTAACTACTGCTCGAGCATTATGCTTTTCAAGTTCCTGAAATTTTGAAAATGCAGTCAAAGAAGTTTAGTCCAAAGTTTGCTAAATTCTAAAAATGAAATTAGTAAATTAGAAATATTAATAAAAAGAAAGGATCAGTCATATTTCATTACTCAATCTTTTTCACTCAGAATTCGATAAACGAATCATTAGTTATTACACTTCCAGCAACATAATGTGAATAAAACTCTTTTTTTTGCAGTAATTATGTCGCTCATCATGTAAATCAAGGATTTTACTTCCGATGAAATCTTTCTTGAACTTAACACAACTGCTGAATAATAAAAGTATAGTATCAGTATTACATAAATTTGAAAGGAATAGTATTAGGTTATTATGATTTGAATGAAACTCATGTATTTAAAATGGTTGAAAAAAGAATAACTTCGATATAAGTGTTGATTGTTAAATCGGATGGTCGATCAGTGATTAAAAACCTCATTCTGCCATACTGAATTTCGCTAGGCGCCGGCTTGAAATATGCTCGAGTTTGTCGTCTGGCAGTTGATGACTCCATCCTTCCTTCTCCTGTTATCATATTCCCAATGGGCACCAAATTGCTATTACACAAAAAGCGTTGTTTTTTCCCTTTCGAACTGTAAGATAGCACTTATAATAAACCATAATAATAATGATAACGATAATGGGGACAAATATATAATGTGGTAAGGAATTCCAATATGCAATTTATATGTCAGGAAGCAACCGAAAGGATTTTCGTTCAAAAACACGTTTCTTTCTGGAAACATTAGTTTTCTTTCTTCTACGATTTGTTTTTTTTTTGGGAAGAAGGTTTCTAACAAATTTTTGATTTGTTTAATTTCGCTTCCTTTAATAATAATAATGAACCTTATTTTCGAAGCCACACAATTACCGAATAAATGACTCCACCAGTAAATATACCTGAAAATAAAGCTGCACAGAAGTGAAGGCTTAATGTCCATTTTCTTCCAGAGAAATAACATGTTCAAGATCAACGTCAACGAATTCACCATAAGAAAATGCATCTCAATGATACTGCATTACCTGGTCATAGCTGCAAAGACTAAAGAATATTAGAATAATGTATAAAAGAGGGAAGAATTTTCGAATCATTAACTGATGGCTAAAATTTATGAATTCTATAAAACATCCAATCGTTTACAACTATCACATTAAAGATTTATAATACATCATATCTAATATTTAAGAAAATAATCACAAATAGTAGATTAAATTTTAAATTTAGAGAAGACACTAAGATAGGGAATATAACATGCAGTTCTGTTCATAGCTGTTAATCTGAAGATTTATGTTTGAAAGTAGTTTGAAGGCAACATACTGCAATTACATATCTCAAATGTTGATTTTCAACTCTCAAAGCATTTCTCATTGAAGCATTCTATTTTTAGTAGGAAAAAAAAATTATGTAATCAAAATAAATCTCAGGAATATAATGAAGAATATTCAAAAGTTCCTCGTATAAGAGCAAAAAAGTCATAAATTAATATTCATATAAATTGCGTTAGAATGAAACATCTCATTTTCTCTTTCTCTGCATTTTCCTTTCCAGTTATGGAAAAATTTTGAAAATTGCAGAGTTTCTTAGTCCATTAGCTGAACATTAAAGTGCAACTTTACTTTAATAACAAACCTAAACTATGACCTCAGGATAAAAGGAACCAAATATCCGAACAATATGCGACAATCCATTTCCCTCCACTGCTGTAATAGCATTTACCATTCTTTTGCTGTAAACGAGAGACAGAGAGGAACAATGAAGACAAGTAAGGGAAAATGTTAGAGATGAGGAAAGGATAAAGAGGGAGAGAATGGATGGATATTCAAGGTTGACCTTGGCGGCAGCAATCATATAACCTCTTAAGATTATATCACCTCGAATTGGTTCACCATTTATTTGAAATGAACTAAAAATTGTGAATTTGATAATAGTGATATCACTTTAATATATACTAACAATCATGATCATTTCCTAGTATGTCAATTCCTCCAATGAAAAATGATTTAGTTTGAGGCACTGAGCCTGACTGCACATTTCATTAAGCTGTATTTGCCAAAGCAACCAAATGTTTTCAGTTGCAACTAAAAGAGTAACAACATGGAAAACATGGGCTGTGTAATCAATAGGTCATTAATGTTATTTGAAAGGTTATGAATCATTAATGTAACTGTATTAACGCTGTAAAGTTCAACTCGAGTATTTTGAAATGAGAATTGCAATCTATTTCAATAATGGTATTTCTCCTCCTCTCATAAAAAAAATATTTTTATTGCACAAAGTTCAATCTAATTCATCAATATTTTGACGATAAGTTAGTTAAGTAAGCAGAGGTGTATTTTAAAGATCGCTATTTACATCTACCAGTTACTCGACATAGAAAATACTGTCTGCACTTGTCCCATTATCCAAAATTTGACTCATTTTGAAATGTCAACTTATTAAACTATTGTAAGTGGACACTAGCCTTTAATTATCATAAAGCAAATTTTAACAAATTTTAAGAGGGCAAGAAATTAAGTTTCGAAATATTTGGAGGTTAAGAGGCTAACGAAATAAACAATACCTCTTCTTTTTTCATCAAAATTTGCTGAAATCTCCGCAATGCATTATGAGAGCTAATATTAATTGAGTTGATGAACATTTCTGATCTGCATAATATTTCGTACAAGGATTCAAAGGACAATGATAATATCTCACAAAATAAACTTCAGTCCTTGCCTATCAGTAGAGCAGACAATAAATAATACACAATTTAGTTATTTGTTATATTAAAGTATACATAAAAGCCAAGCACAATTAATCGGTGAATAACTACAGGAATAAGAAAGAAAAAGCCAAAGCGAATAGTCAATTTTAATGACAAATGTTAGCGACGCATGACTGTTGTCAATAACATCTCAAAAAATAATCAGCACTTTAATTATATAAAACGCAGAATATGATGTAATGATGGAGAAAAAAGCCTAATCGTACAAATGCCTATATAAACTCAACTCCTGCTTTTAATGAAGATTCTCCTGCTTAAAATTTTCAGTGCTACATCGGCATTTTTGTTTAATATGCTCTCTTATCTTCATTAACTGCACTCCTATATTTTTCACACATTCTTTTTAGGAAAAAAAGCTGGACAACAGGAGACAAAAAATAAAGAGACAAAACAAAA